AATCCCCAACACCATTAAAAAAAAAAAAAAAAGTAAAAAACATGGTAACATGGTCAAGGGTAGCAACTCCAGGCCTACAGGGACCTGCAAGCAGCGGGTGGCCAGGTTTGGGAGGACAGGTGCAGTGGGAGGAGCATGTCCATCTTCTAACTTTGGCTGCTGCGGAATAGCTCTGAGCAAGGATGAGGGAAATGCAGATTTTGTGTGAATTATCCGAAATTTTAAATAAGGAGCAACAGCGAGCCAAACAAAACAACAGCACAGGTCAAATTTGACCCAGGAGACTGCCGCCGTGGACGGGTTTCTTGGCTCAAAACTCATAGTCAAGTCCCCCCCCCCCACTAAAGAAAACGCGCTGCAGGAGGCCATCATTCAGTCCTTCATTCCGCCGTGCATTGCCAGGCCCTGGAGGGAAGCGGGGGACTGACGCGGAACCGGGTGGAATAGGGAGGCTGCGTTGGGAGCTGCGGAGGAACATAAAGTCACCACGACTGGGGATCTGGCCCCGCCAGGAGAGCAGCCGCCTTCCCCATGGCTCCTAGGGCGCCCCGCGCCTGTGCAGGCGGCTGGCGGAGAACCAGGGTCGTGCGGACGTGGGCTTCGGCCGGGGCGGGTGGGACCGCGAGCTTTCCACCGACTGCCCGAGACAGGAGAAAACCCAAACGCATGCGCGCGCACACACACACACACGAGCTCAACTGCTCTCTTCCAGAAACGTCTCTCATTAGCCCTTCTTGGCTGCCTCCCCCTCACAGCATAGTGCGGCGTCAGGAAAGCAGCGGTAGAGAAAGGCTCTTCGGTTAGAACCTGTGGGTTCGGGTCCTGGGTACCCAGCACCAGGAGGTGGCCGGAACCAGAATCTAGGGGAACGTGTGTCCCGGGACCGGGAACCGGAGTGAGCAAGCCCCGCCCACTCCGCTAGAAGGCCGCTGGAAAGCGGCGCGCGGTAGCCGGAAGCCTTCCCTTCCTGCACACGACCCGGAAGCGGAAGGGAGTCCGTCTCTTTTCTCTGTCCATTGCGTTTCTCCTGCGTTCGTTGCTTCTCCCGGGAGCGGTTCCGAGGGGCTGTTCGCAGAGTGCGGTGCTCTGAGGTCTCCGAGCTGCTGCGGCCATGGCGGATGTGACCGCCCGTAGCCTGCAGTACGAGTACAAGGCGGTGAGTGGGATCTCGGGGGAGGACTCTGGGCGGCCGAGTGTGGTGGGGGAGCGGGAGGCCGTGGAAGGGGGTTTCAGTCGAAGGCCTCCAGGACAGCCGCGAAGGCGAGGGGGAAGTCGATCTGGGGAAGGTGGGATCACACGACCACGCTTAAGTCAGCCCCCACGGGGGCTGGTGGGATAGGCCGAGAGCTCTCTAAGGAGGCTTTTTGCAGTTCTCATTGTAATTCCGCCCCCTTCCATGTGATGCTCCTCTAACAGCGGGCCCTGTGAGGAGCAGGGATTGTCCACCGCTGATACAGGACTCAGCTCTAGGCTCATGCACAACGTTGTATGGCACCATTGCTTTTCCGAGAAAACGTTTTTAGATCCAGTTAATCATTATTAGCCTTAGTTGCTGTGGTTCTTTCATCAGCTGATATGATTGTGGTGGTCTCATGTCGAAGTTTTGGTAATGTATAATCTTTTCAGAACTCGAATCTTGTGCTCCAAGCTGACCGCTCTCTCATTGACCGGACCCGCCGGGATGAACCCACAGGAGAGGTGCTGTCCCTGGTTGGGAAGCTGGAGGGCACCCGGATGGGAGATAAGGCTCAGCGGACCAAACCGCAGATGCAGGAGGAAAGAAGAGCCAAGTATGTACCAAGGGGACGCTGGTTTTTCAGTTTCAAAGTCCACCTTCCCTTGTAGCAGTTGAGCAGCATTTTTGCTGCAATGTGTGGTGGAAGGTCAGACATCAGTGTCATTAAAAATACTGTGGAAATTTACAGAAAGTTTGTTAGAACATGAGAGTTTTAAAGATTCTTTGGTCTTAAGTGCAAGTAAAGTGGAAAATAAGTTTTTTGAACATAAGTGTTTCTGATCCACAGATCTTAATTTTCTTTTAGGTTTTCAAGATCCTTGATATTTCCTTGTCTCAGTAATTTTTTTTTCCCCTCACTACTGTCTCCCCATTACTGCTTTTTCCTTTTTTTCTACTCTTGTTTATTTTTTGGTTGTAAACTAACTCAAGCATCCATAGTAAAAAAGACAGTTTTAGTTTTGTTATAATTTTTTGGGAGTAGGTTAGAAGTAGATTCTGTTGAAACTAGTTTGTTTGTCTAGAGAAAGGTAATGTATCTGAAAAGTGAAAAAACTAGTTAAATTCCATTGTGTAATCTTAAATTAATGGGGAGCCTTAATGGGGGAGCCTGTCTTATATCAATTTGTCCATCTAGTGAGAGGATGGCAGGATTTCCTATTTATTAATTAATTAATTCATTCATTTATTTACACAGTAGCTTTATTTTAATGTGGTACTGAGGATCAAACCCAGGGCCTGGCATGTGCTAGGCAAGTGCTGTACTGCTGAGCCACAACCCCAGCCCCAGGATTTTCTTTGTCACTGTGTCCTGTAAATAAATGCTCCCATAAATGAATAAGAACAAGTTCGACTCATTTGATGGAGTACAGGTTCCTGTTCTCAAATATCAGATGTCTATATGCCATGAGACTGAGAAGGAAAGGAGGATGGGCTTGATCTAGTCTTGCCTGGGGGTGGGAAAGTTCTTCTCTTCCATTTCATATCATGTCTTCATCAGGCGAAGAAAACGTGATGAGGACCGGCATGACATCAACAAGATGAAGGGTTATACTTTGCTGTCAGAGGGCATAGATGAGATGGTGGGAATTATCTATAAGCCCAAAACTAAGGAGACCCGAGAGACCTATGAGGTGCTGCTCAGCTTCATCCAGGCTGCTCTTGGGGACCAGGTAAGGCAGCGAGAGGCTGAGGCCATGTGTTTGGAAAGGGAGAATGTTACATTTGGAAGACATCAGAAGAACCTTATCTTTAGATTTCTGTCTGGTTCATACAAGTTTTCAGATTAGACTAATACTAAGCACTTAGTTTATATGGAACAACAAATCAGCTATTAATACTTATTTCCTATTTTGCAGAAGAGAAATGTGAGGCACAGAATAGTTATGTAATTTTTCTAAGTCGCAGCGGTAGCATTTGGCAGAGTCAGGACATGAATTCAGGTGATTTTCTCCAGGATCTATTCTTAACTCTTTCCCATGCATGATTACATTGTGAGCTTTTTTGAGTCTTTGAGAGACTCTGTGAGATGCTAGAGAAAGTATGGACATAGAACTATCAAAAGTGTGTCAAGATGGAAGAAGACTGCTAAGTGCCTCTGTCATCTAGGAATGTGAGGCAGATTACTGTGAAAGCTGTGTCCTGCTTCTGGAGACTACCTATCCAATCTTTTTTATCCTCCCTCTCAGTGCTGGGGATTGAATCCAGGGCCTCATGTATGCTAAGCACAATGTTCTACCATTGAGCTATATCTCCAGTTTCTCTAATATTTTTAAAACAGATGACTTTTACTTCAATAATGTGCCTTTTTTTTTTTTTTTTTTTTTTGCATTGTTGGGGATTGAACCCAGGGCCTCATGCATGCTAGGCAAGCATTGTACCACTGAATTTGCAACCCTCCTAGCTCTAGGTGGAGTATTTATCAACATTAATAAAAATTGTTACAGCCAGGATTACTGCAATTTTGAAGCAATGTGGCTCATCACATCCTGGCATCACATAAAACTGGTTGGGGGGTGTTCT